CAGGCCCGACTGTCACCTAAGAAATGACTGACCGAGGTCAACATAGATATTGTGGCTTACTTCCTACGATCCCACCCAGGCATTTGGTAGATTATTTGGTGACTGGTTTCTCACAGGGTTTTCACACTGGCCTCATCACCATCCCCACAGGCACGCTCTAATGCCATAACCTGCTGTCCGCTTCTAACGACCCTCTTACGGTGGACCACCTACTGTCCACAGAAACTAAAGCAGGCTTCATGATTGGCCCTTTCACAGTATCACCTTTTTCATCCTGGCGTACCAACCCCATTGGTGTAGCCGTGCACAAATACTCTAATAAAAAAAGATTGATTATCAACCTCTCAGCACCTCATTCTTCTTCCGTGCCAAGCATAAACTCTCTCATACCCGCTGAGGAGTTTTCACTTCACTACGCTAAAATCTATGACACAATGCAAGCCATCATCACAGCAGGCAACAAGGCATGGTTGAGCAAGACCGACATTACCATCGCCTTCAAGCTCTTACCCATTCACCCCTCACTATGGCACTTACACGGTGTTAAACGGCGGGACAGGTATTATTTTTATACCAAGTTCACATTTGGGTCAAGGAGCAGCCCTAAGCTGTTTGACATTTTTCGCTGAAACGCTCTGTTGGCAATTTTTTGTTGTTGGTAGAACCGAGGTCACACACTCCAAGAAGCATTCACAACACCACAGCCCTTTTCAGTACCCCTGTCACCAAGTAAAATGTTTGGACCCTCTACCAAGCTAGTTTTCTTGGGCATCGTTTTGGACACAGTATCTTTCCAAGCATGCATACCACCCGAGAAATTGACCCACATTAGGGATGAAATCGGTCTGTTCCTGCGGAATGATACATGCACCAGGAGGGGACTCCAGTCCTTATTGGGGTCCCTTAACTTTGCCATGTGGATCATTCCGCAGGGCAGATAATTGCAGATAATTGGTCTCTAGGCCACTGTGTTTACTCCATGGGGTGCCCAACTCCTGCCCAATTACTTTGGATGGTCCCGCCAGGGCTTATTAGCACATGTGGTATAACTTCTTGGCCGAATGGAATGGAATCTCTCTGTTCATACCTCCACTATCCGAGCTTTCACCTACTATTTACACAGACGCAGCAGCACACACCGGGTTTGCTGCCATTTTTGGCAACCACTGGTTTAGGGATAACTGGCCCACTGAGATGAATGCCTTGCCAGCCTTTAGAGAAACATCCTCATTGTTTGAGATTTTACCCATCGTGGCGGCCGACGTGGTCATCTCTGGACTGGCAAAGCAGTTAAATACTGCTCAGACAATTCAGCAGCCTGTGAAATTATCAACAAGGGGCGGTACTCATCTCTCTTACCGTCATGAGGCTGGTACGCAAGCTGACTTGGCTGGCAGCAACCGCTCAGTTTCACCTAGTCTGCATTCACATTCCTGGTATCCGTAACACAGCTGCTGACACTCTTTCCCGCTTTCGGTCAGGACGACGTAACCCCGGGGACCATTTGGGTGGCACATAAAGCGGTAATCAGGGGAACGCTAATACACCTAGCTACGGAAAAAAAGAAACAAAAGACGCTCACAGAGCTTTTAGCAGCCCTTAGGAAAAAGGAGCAACAACATAAGGCAAATCCTGATCCAACGAATAGCACACAACTGAGGGCAGTAAGGGAGTGCATAAAGGAGCTGCTGTTAGAGGAAGCAGCTAGGGATATCATATGGTCCAAAAGAACCTACTACAAAAGAGCTAACAAAATGGACACATTAATGGCCACAACTCTACGCCCGAGACAGAGACGCCTACCTATCACAGCAATTAGGGATATCGAAAACACACTCAAAACAAAGCCTAAGGACATAGAAGTGTTCACCAGATATTGCAAGATATTTGCAAAAATACTAGCAACCAGACTCCATTCACTGCTATCTAAGCTAATTGAGGCAGATCAAGTCAGGTTTATCCCCGAGAGACAATTATTCGAAAACATCCACAGGAACATCGACTTGATCTGGAGACAGAGAACCTCAAAACCCCCACACTTATGCTATCACTAGACGGTTCTTCCTCCTTCAACATATGGGTTTCCCGGATACGTACATTACCATGATAAAGGCAATGTATACAAATGTTAGAGCCCAGATAAAATTATCGGGTACTCTGGGTACGCCCTTCCAGTTAAGTAACGGAACACGTCAGGGATGCCCCTTATCGCCCCTGCTTTTTGTTATCTCCCTGGAACCACTGTTGCCAGCGATTAGACAGCACCCACAGATCTACGGCGTGGAAGTGAGAGGACAGCAATTCCCAGCGTCTGCATACGCAGACGATTTATTATCTCTTACCCAGCTAAAAGAATCCATTAAGGCTCTGAGAGACATCATCACAACATACAGTCCAATCTCTGGATATAAAGTCAATATCGAAAAATCTAGCGCACTCCCCTAAATCCTCATTAAAACAGACATAGACGAAATCCAACAACTACACCAGGTACCAATCACACAACACTCAATAAAGTACTTAGGGGTCTGACTTTCAGCCGATCCAGCAAAGCTACATCAGCTGAACTACACTCCTCTATTTAAAAATATACTAAAAGACATAGACAAGTGGTTAGATAGGCCGATCTTGTGAATCGGAAGGATTCATAACTAGAGTTGAGCGGACACCTGGATGTTCGGGTTCAGCCGAACTTTGAAAAAAGTCCTGGTTCGGGCTCGAACTTGACCCTGAACCCCATTAAAGTCAATGGGGACCTGAACTTTTGGGCACAAAAATGCCTCTAAAAAAACTCCTGGAAAGGGCTAGAGAGCTGCAAAAGCAAATAAAATGGGGATAAGAGTAGGACAAGTGCCCTGCAAACAAATGTGGATAGGGAAATCACTTAAAATAACATAAAAATGTAAAATACAGCTGAGCCATAAAATAGCACTAGATGGAATCTTTGATTTTAGCTTTGGAAGAACATAGATCAAAATCTAAAGCATGGATGTCAAGAGGATCACCAGAATTATCAATTTGAGAGAGGGTTGGAGTGCAGGGTATTCTTTCATTGTTCAAACTGAGCTCAACTCCTGATGCATGGAGAAAAGGCCTTCACAAGCCTCTGCTCTTGTGTACATAGTTTATACTACATAATCCATAGGTTGAGTAGGCGGTGACTGCGGCGGTGGAGGAGGAGGAGATAGCCAACACTATTCTTTTTTTAATATATATAATTTTTTTTTGTTTTGTTTTTTTTGGGGGGTAGCCCACAAAATATTGGGACATATAAAAAAAGAAACATTTGCGGCCTGCGGTGCATTTCTTGCAGTCCTGATGCATGGAGAAATGCTCAACTCCTGATGCATGGAGAAAAGGCCTTCACAAGCCTCTGCTAATGTGTACATAGTTTATACTAAGTGACCCATAGGTTGAGGAGGTGGTGACTGTGGCGGTGGAGGAGGAGGATGAGGTAGCCAACACTGTTTTTTATATATATATATATATATATATATATATATATATATATATATACACACACACAGGGAGTGCAGAATTATTAGGCAAATGAGTATTTTGACCACATCATCCTCTTTATGCATGTTGTCTTACTCCAAGCTGTATAGGCTCGAAAGCCTACTACCAATTAAGCATATTAGATGATGTGCATCTCTGTAATGAGAAGGGGTGTGGTCTAATGACATCAACACCCTATATCAGGTGTGCATAATTATTAGGCAACTTCCTTTCCTTTGGCAAAATGGGTCAAAAGAAGGACTTGACAGGCTCAGAAAAGTCAAAAATAGTGAGATATCTTGCAGAGGGATGCAGCACTCTTAAAAATGCAAAGCTTCTGAAGCGTGATCATCGAACAATCAAGCGTTTCATTCAAAATAGTCAACAGGGTCGCAAGAAGCGTGTGGAAAAACCAAGGCGCAAAATAACTGCCCATGAACTGAGAAAAGTCAAGCGTGCAGCTGCCACGATGCCACTTGCCACCAGTTTGGCCATATTTCAGAGCTGCAACATCACTGGAGTGCCCAAAAGCACAAGGTGTGCAATACTCAGAGACATGGCCAAGGTAAGAAAGGCTGAAAGACGACCACCACTGAACAAGACACACAAGCTGAAACGTCAAGACTGGGCCAAGAAATATCTCAAGACTGATTTTTCTAAGGTTTTATGGACTGATGAAATGAGAGTGAGTCTTGATGGGCCAGATGGATGGGCCCGTGGCTGGATTGGTAAAGGGCAGAGAGCTCCAGTCCGACTCAGACGCCAGCAAGGTGGAGGTGGAGTACTGGTTTGGGCTGGTATCATCAAAGATGAGCTTGTGGGGCCTTTTCGGGTTGAGGATGGAGTCAAGCTCAACTCCCAGTCCTACTGCCAGTTCCTGGAAGACACCTTCTTCAAGCAGTGGTACAGGAAGAAGTCTGCATCCTTCAAGAAAAACATGATTTTCATGCAGGACAATGCTCCATCACACGCGTCCAAGTACTCCACAGCGTGGCTGGCAAGAAAGGGTATAAAAGAAGAAAATCTAATGACATGGCCTCCTTGTTCACCTGATCTGAACCCCATTGAGAACCTGTGGTCCATAATCAAATGTGAGATTTACAAGGAGGGAAAACAGTACACCTCTCTGAACAGTGTCTGGGAGGCTGTGGTTGCTGCTGCACGCAATGTTGATGGTGAACAGATCAAAACACTGACAGAATCCATGGATGGCAGGCTTTTGAGTGTCCTTGCAAAGAAAGGTGGCTATATTGGTCACTGATTTGTTTTGTTTTGTTTTTGAATGTCAGAAATGTATATTTGTGAATGTTGAGATGTTATATTGGTTTCACTGGTAATAATAAATAATTGAAATGGGTATATATTTGTTTTTGTTAAGTTGCCTAATAATTATGCACAGTAATAGTCACCTGCACACACAGATATCCCCCTAACATAGCTAAAACTAAAAACAAACTAAAAACTACTTCCAAAAATATTCAGCTTTGATATTAATGAGTTTTTTGGGTTAATTGAGAACATGGTTGTTGTTGTTCAATAATAAAATTAATCCTCAAAAATACAACTTGCCTAATAATTCTGCACTCCCTGTATATATATTTATTTTAATTGGGGTAACCCAAAAAATATTGGGACATATAAAAAAAAAAAGGAGACAACTCCGCAGAGTTCCGTAGAGTAGCTGTTGACATTATAGTTGTGCAGGCACTTTGTTGACTCTAGAGAACCTCGGGCCAATCGCACATCCCCGTGGCGGCGACTTTGCATGCGGATGTCATCCATATCAAGTTTCGATGCCAGTTTCTGCGCCTACAATGGTGACCACGGGTAACAGGGGATCAGGGTTCCATACCGTACAGGGACCCTGAGAAATGGCTACCACGTGCAAGGAAGGCAGCAGGCGCGCAAATGACCCACTCCCGACGCAGGAAGGTAGTGACGACAAATAACAATACAGGACTCTTTAGAGGCCCTGTAATTGTAATGAGTCCACCTGAAATCCTTTAACTCAATTGGAGGGAAGTCTGGTGCAGAGCCACGGACCCGTGCGTGCTGCAGCTGAAACTCCACTATCGCCTGCTGCTGCTCGCACAGTCTCATGAGGCGGTGAGCAGGAAGGCTGAAGTTACGCTGCTGCGCAGACAGGTGAGCAGCAGCAGGTTGACAACGCCAAAAGCACGCACAGTCGCTACAGTGAATGTCATATCCTGTTCCAAGATGCAGATCAGTCTAGTGATGGCTTCTGGTATCCAGTACTCTTTTTACTGAAGCTGCATCTGGGTCCTGGTATGTGGCTGCACAAACACTGGTGCTCAACACCAGGGGGCGTGCGGTTACCCTGCAACAGACCCTGCTAATCCATTCCACACTGTGACTCCTAACTTCAACATCAGGCATACTGGGTCCCGGTCGTCCGACCACCGCCCAGACAGTATCTGGGTCCTGGTTACCGGACTGCCCACCTGACTGTGAAACTACGAATGGATCGTTATATATGGTACGAACTCGAACTTTGCAGTTCGGGTTCGCTTAACTCTATTACGGATCCTTTGATCGCAACATGTATTACTTGGATAACTGATAATTCTATGCCGACGCTTTTGCACCCTGCTCCCTCTTATGCTGTGCTGGTGCCTCTGTGCAACCAGCGCCTCTTCCTCCAAACTGCACAAACTGTCACTTGCATGACCCTGATTCCATGTGGGGTGTAGGACTTCATCATCCTCCACATCATCTTCTACCCACTCCTCAACCTTGACCTCCTTGCCGGTATGCACACTGCAGAAAGCCACAGCAGTTGGCACCTGTGTTTTTCCAGCATGTAAAGTCTGCAAAAGACATATGGAAATTGTTTTAGTATTGTATCCAGGCAACAGTTTTCCCTATAAACTGAACTCTCAGTTTGACTTGTTAGGGTATTGCCCCAGAATTACAATATTGTTGAAGTACCTCTTAGCTATTGATAACTGGTATAAATATAGCAGCCTGTTATCTGGTAGTTTCTAGTGGAGAAAATATCAATATGTTTTCTATCACTTAGATCTGTGTAACAAGTGTTGTAGGTGTGAAACAATATTACAAGTGACCGATGTGGTAAATTCGAATCAAAGTTATGCTTCAATTTGACTCTCAGATATGAAGTGAACACCCCAAATATGCTATTTAGCACCAAAAAAAAAAAAAAAAAAGACTTTTTAAAACTCCAATGTAAGCAGCAGATTAGCAGCAAAACAATTAGAATTTTTACAACTGCGCAGTAAGCGCACTATTAGACGCTTCTATTTGACTCTCAGATATGAAGTGCATGCCCCAAAATTTACTATTTAGCAGATTAGCACCCAGAAAATTTGAATTTTTACAACTGCGCTGTAAGCACACTATTAGACGTTTCTATTTGACTCTCAGATATGAAGTGCACCCCACTAAAATACTATTTAGCAGTTTAGCACCCAAAACATTTTAAATTTTAAAACTCCGATGTAACTGTGGTATTTGAAGCTTCTATTTGACTCTCAGATATGAAGTGCACCCCATCCCACTAATGAACTAGTTTGCAGAATTCTTTCCTAAGCTGTCCCTATCAGCGGCAGCATCCTCTCCCTACACTAATAAGACCACATGTGCGTGCAACGCTACGCGACTCCAGCTTATATATAGAGGCTGGGTCACATGCTGCACTTACCAATCACAGCCATGCCATTAGTAGGCATGGCTGTGATGGCTTCTAAGGGCACACGAGTCAAACGCTTGTTGACTGGCTGCCCTGCAGCCTTTCAAAACGCGCCATTAAATCACTGAACTCCAACCCGATCATACAGTGTTATGTCTGTGTTCGGGTCCGTACGAACCCGAACTTTACAGTCCGGGTTTGCTCAACTCTATTTATAACATTAAAATGAATTTCCTCCCGAGGATTCTATTCCTGTTTCAGACGCTGCCAATCCCGATAGCTAAAACTGACCGTACCCGACTGCAAAAAGCCATAGGCTCATTCATTTGGCAAAATAAGAGAGAACGGATATTGCGAAACATTTTATAGAGGTCAAAGACTAGAAGGGGTCTAGGGCTACTGCATCTGTATTACTATTATTTATTGGCCCAACTGGCTCAAATAGCAATGTGGCACATTCCACTTGAAATGAGAAAATTGGTAGACCTGGAGTCCCCTATGATGGGCTCAGACCTTCCACAATACTACATGTGGGTACCCAGAGAGAACAGAGCACTGGTGCGCACAGAGTGTCCAGCAAAACTCAACTCCCTCTGGATCTAGGACAAGACAGCCCATAAATATGGCTTGGCGTCATCTCCATCACCACTAATGCCATATTTGCGAAACAGAGCCTTTGCGCCGGGTATGAAAGATCACAACTTTAAGAATTCAGAAAAAGCTGGATCACAAAGGATATGTCACTTAGACAAAGCAGGGGCAACAGATAACATTCGACGAACTTAAACTTAGAATGACAATGAAACCATCCAACTTCTTTAGATTTATACAATTTATAGATTACGTACAACAAAAACACATAAAAGACACAGCGCACAAACTCTTAACCTTCTTTGAAAATATATGTCTAGACGAACCCCCCCAAAAAAGCTTAATAACCTCTATATTGCACACTTTGCAAATAAACCAAAGAGTGGGACAATCTCACATATATAGACCGATGGGAGAGAGCACAGGATCCTGGACTAGCCTAGGGAAACACACGGAAACAGTTGAGACAAGTGAGAGACCATCACCAGAGAGCCCATACAAACAACTTCATTCATATCAAGAGAACCACTCTCTACTCCCCGGCCTGTGAAGGGACACAGTTGAGACGGGAGCACAGGATCCTGGACTAGCCTAGGGAAACAACTATACCTAGTGTGGGAATGAAGGGGGGCCCTACCTGTTCCACACCTTTACCTCTCATGTAACGTAGACCACTTAGTATTGCTGTTCTTTTTTACTCCTATCTTCCTTTTCCACCTTCTTAAAAGAGAGGAGATCAAGACAACAATAACTATCCTGAAAAAGGTTGACAACCTTACTAGTTTTAAGGATACACAAGAATACCGGCACAGTTGGATAACTGTCCTATCTTACTTTTCCTAACTAAACCTGCCCTTTCTCACATCAGATAATCACTACACAAAATGAGTTGGCGATAAGGTGGTGGCATTGACCAATTTAAAAATAACGGTCACCAATAGCAATAGGGTATCACCCTTAAAAGACCGGGAGGGGAAAGATCCCGGTTTCCTTCTGATGAGCTGATAAGTGAAACACGCGTCAGGGATATGTAGGGTGGCGCAAACTTAGATGACAAACTTAAGATAGAATCTTTATGCCGAGAAGCTCTAGATCTAGAGAAGATTATCTTTTCGAATTATAGAGAGTATCTACTTACCAATTTCTGAGAACCGTAGGGGGACGTTAATATAGACGGAATAACCCTCAGACAGTACATTTATGCCGAGCAGTTCTAGATTTAGAAATGTAATTAGAGAGGAAATTTACTAATCCAAACAATAGCTTTGCTGCATTAATCTTTTGCCGTGGGATTGATGGGATAGGGTATACAGCCATTCGAATATATATACTGTCCTAGAGGTCAAACTATGGTATTAAGGTCTATTACTGTGCCCTCCTTTGTCTTTTTTCCCACGCTTAATAGTATACATCAATACACAAGCAGCTATGCTGTTTAATCAAGCCGCATCCACGGTTGGTGGATTCTACTGAACTGATCCTCGACACTTTTAATATACTGCTACAAAAAAGATAACTTTGTTAACAGCAATCAGCAACAATGTTATATTACGTACCGGGGTAGATCAGTTCTAGCGAATTGAGAAGCTACTTTTACGTACAGGCATAGGAGTATCGAGTAATCCACTCTATCAGGAGTTGGGGTTTAATTCATTTTCCGTTGGAGTGCCAATATTTTAGATCATTTCTTGGTAAACCAATTACGATATTTTAGTATTGTTGGGGTACACCCTAGAATTGTTTTATTAACAGTTTAGTTTTTTAAAGACAATTAATTTTGTAGGATTTCACTTTATTAGACCAATACAGTTTGGAGTGGGTATTTCTCCCTCTAGTGGAATAATTTTTCGTTTATTTATCTATTAACATTTAGATGTGGTGTTTGAACAAGAGAGTGTGTAGTGCCCTTACAAATAAGGGACTTTTTATTTGATTTATTAAAAGTGACATTTTAAATCCAACAGTGTTCCATTGGTGAAAATATTAACAGTACGGGAATCTCCAACTTTTCTTTTTTCTTTTTGATAAGGTGGTGGCAGGACAAATAACAAATGATAAAGCTGTATGTCACATGTAGATGTAAGGTTCTGAAATCTGGGCTCGCAACCGGTCACCTATCTGGACATTGCCGCCAACAACAAACAAAGGACATTATAATAGGGCTAGGCGAGTTAAAGGATGTACTGCCAAGTGAGACGAGAGCCTTGCCAGTCATGTGAAGTCCTGTCGCAGGCTGCCAACTCGTCAAATGGATGTTCTTAGTTGTTTACTTATCTTTTCTGTTTTTGTATTTTACTCCTCTTATTAACAAAAAACTTTTGACAGAATGCGACCAGGCTGAGCTACCACTACAGGTCATGATGCATGCCTTCACACATGTGGACCTTTCCCTTATGTAATATACGGGTCGCGATGCACGGAATCTGGCATTAGTACAAACCTCACGATAGTAGATATATCGTAATTTTCGGTTACTACAAAAGTAAAGATTATTTTAAAAAAAATGCAGTTCACCATACCAAAGCATTACTGTACAATATCATGCAGGCCTTAACACAATACTGTCTTACTTTCTGTGACACCACAACAATGTTGTATGTAAAATGATGTGGCTTTTGCACAAGCCTCCATAAATGCCAAACTTTCGCAATTTCTGTCAATGCAAAAATAAAGAATTAAAAATTTTTTTTTTAACATTTGTCACTTTAAAAGGAGGTAGGACAAACTATTTGAGTTGAGTAATAAGAATATTGCTTCTAGGCAGACATCTTGCAAAGATAGTCTGTGTCCTGCCGAGAAGTAAATGTATGTGCCAGGTATTCAAGCCATTTTGCTCCATAATACCAGCTGGGCGCTTCAGCCTCCGCACAGGACTTGGTTTGCCAGACACGTAATACAAGCAGTAAGAGTCCTTCTGAAACATCTGTTGTTACTTGCACCCCATAAATTGTTTTTCAGTTGCAATTTTTACGACTGTAATATATTTCAATCGAATGAGACTGCTAGAAAACTAGGCCACAAAGTTAGTTTCAGACAGTTTTATGAAACCGAAAACCTGTAGGGAAGCTTAATACTGTAAAATGAAGTTGTCAGAGCATACTGAAAAAGCTGTTGCACAATGTGTTTATTTTTTTTATATATTATTTGGCATTGAATTACACTTGGTGCTACTGTTTTGTAGCTTACGTTCAGCAAGTTTTCAAATGAGTAACGAGTTGTATGAGAGGTCCAAATATCAAACCTCAGAATCGTGAACAATTTAAAAACGCCCTTTTAATTGTAGAGAACGATATAGTAGTGATGTACATGCGCAATTTTCCTTTACATGTGGGCAGCCAGATGGTTCTTCTTAAAGGACAATGTCATCAAAACAAAATTAAAAAATTAAAATTAAGAATATGTAAAAAATAAATGCAAAAAACTCATCCTTACCATTTTACTATATGATAGGATCCTTCAGCCATAATATGCACGCATCTTTGGTTGGACAGTGTTTGAAAACTGTCCGTCTCTATGGCTTTCCCTGCTTCTGTACAGAGACTGAAGCAGGGAAGACCATAGAGACGGTCGGTTTCAAGGTGCATGTATATGGCTGAAGAATCCTGTTGTATTCTAAAATGAGAACAAATTATGTTAAGCTGATACTCTGCGTGTCTATCAAACTCTCTCGTGTTTGATAGAGTCCTAACCTCAACATCTAAGGAAAGGGATTTAGGGATGATTATTTCTGATGACTTAAAGGTAGGCAGACAATGTAATAGAGCAGCAGGAAATGCTAGCAGAATGCTTGGTTGTATAGGGAGAGGTATTTGCAGTAGAAAGAGGGAAGTGCTCATGCCATTGTACAGAACTCTGGTGAGACCTCACTTGGAATATTGTACACAGTACTGGAGACCGTATCTGCAGAAGGATATTGATACTTTAGAGAGAGTTTAGAGAAGGGCTACTAAACTGGTTTAGTGGATGCATGGAATAGCCTTCCAGCTGAAGTGGTAGAGGCTAACACAGTAAAGGAGTTTAAGCATGCGTGGGATATGCATGAGGCTATCCTAACTATAAGATAAGATAAAATTGGGCAGACTAGATGGGACGAATGGTTCTTATCTGCCATCACATTCTGTATTTCCATGTGTCTGCGGTGCTGCTAGGCCTCACCCTCCTGCCGGGTAAGTGGTGCTTGGAGTGTCACTTGGGTGGTGTCATCTTTTGCATCTCGATGTCAACTCTCGTTTGGTGACCTTTTTGTCTCTGTTAAATGCTGCTTTGGCAGTGAAAGGCATGTTTTGGCATGCAACAGGAGCTGCTGAGGTGTTTGGTGGAGGTAAAGTGGGTTTCCTGGATCAGAAGGATATCTGCCTTCTGGCTGTGGGCCCAGCGCAGCAGTGAGTGGCGTTTTTTGGGACTATTGAGGCCCTTGGCATTAATGGAAATACAATGTATGTTGGGTGGCATCTCTATGCGAGGACAGCTGGGGTATCGCAGCGGGGGTAGGTAGAAAGAAGGAAAATGTTTGTAGATGCTGGGCTTATTACAGGTCTGTGTTGCCCTCGGCAGGGAACGGTGGCAAGAACAGTGTGGGGGAAGTGGTCAACCTCCAGAGAGAGGCAGGCAGGCTGGCTATGGAGATGGGTCAGGTATTTTGCTGGGTACAGTACCAGGTTAGAGCTTGGAGCATGTCCCTGCAGCTCCCCATTCCCTACACCGAGAGTCGGTCAGGGGGAGGGGGGCACCGCAAAGTCGG